AAGAATCTGAGTTTTTGTTTGTTATGATTTGCTTATTTGAGGCCAGCATTGTGATGAAATGGGTAAAACTGCCTGCTGCAACACTTGGCATTCCCATGTGGGTGCTGCTTCATTTCCTGTCTACTCCACTTCCAACCTAGCTCCCTGGTAATGTGCCTAGGAGAGAAGTGAAATATGGTCAAAGTGCTTGGGCCTCTGCATCCATGTGGTGACCCAGAAGACACTCCAGGATCCTTGTTTTCAACTGGCTTAGCCATTGATGTTGCAGCAATATGAGGGGTGAACCAATTGCAACTGCTGGAACTGAGGCAAATTAAGAATCAGGAACTCCCTCCAGGTTTCCCACATTGGTAAACTGGGACCCCAATTCTTGGGCCATCTTCTCCTACTTTCCTTGGCACCTTAGCAGGGTGCTAGATCAGGAACAGAGCAGCCAGTACTTGAATCTGTGCTCTTGTGTGGGATGCCAGCATCATAAGCTGCAACTTAAATGATATCAGGATTCCTTCCCCAGGATTCTGTATTTCTGACAAGATCCCAGGTAATGCTGTGGCTGCTGGTCGGTGGACTACACTCTGGGTGACAGAGTTGTAGCAGCACTGATGCTCAAAATGAGAGTGACCAGAAGTCCCTGGCTTGTGACAAGTGTTATTATTGGCTATATTCAATACTGAAGAATGAAAGTCTAGGCTGAACTCCGGGCACATCTGGCCTGGGGACATGGGATGTGGAGTACTAGAAGGTGCAGCTTGAAACAGTCTTTTGTGGGCTCCAGCCCTAGTATAATTAGAGGTAAAGGCAGCTGTGGCTGACAGAAGGGCAGAAAGGGGACCTAGGGCTGGAGTGAGGCCAGGAATAGATTTGGGATCAAGGGACTGAGAGACATGGTGGTCAGACAGGAATGATATCATAGTGTTAGCTATGAGGGTAGCAAAATATTTACTGCTACAGCTTTGCCAAGTCTCTTCCTGTTTGTTAATTTGTGATAATGGAAAGAAAAAAGAAGGCTTGTTTGCTTGGCAGCGCCTCAGCCTCAAGTACATTATAAACAGCAATTAATTAGAAACTTAAAAAAAAAATATTTCTTGTCAGTACAATGCCTGATCACTAAAATATCCCTGTGTGTAGTTTTCTGTTGGGTTCATCCTTGCTGGATAACTTGAGGCTGTTGGGTTCCCTGGATCCCTTGGGTTTAAGCTGTGGTCAGGCACTCAGTGTGAGCAGCAGGGAGAACAGCCAAGCCCCAAGGACAGTCCTGAAGTCCATGGCCAGGGAGGTGTTAAGATGGAAAAGGAGGACCTGGCAGGTGTTTTAGAAGGCATTACCACATCTGGCTTTATATATGGGCAAATCATTTAATAGGAGAAGCACCAGGTATTAGTCTTGAGTGGCATTCTGAAGGTAAATCGCCTCCTTTATCCTCGTTGTGGTGGAGGAAGAGAGGTTTTTCACACCTCCTTCTGAAGCGTTTACTTTGAAATTTTTTCAGTTGCTAAATAAGAAGACATTTGTTAAATGATGTGAAATGGAGTGACCTTGGCCCTAGAAGGCATAGTTTCCCATCTCCTTCCAAACTCCCTGCAAGGTTGTAACTTTGTAAAATTGATCTCTGAGCTGCTCGGTAGAAGTCAATGTCACACAAATACACCATGATGCCTAGGTTCCCAATATTGCTGCAGATCTCTTTCTATTACTAAGGGGGCATTGTCAAAGGCAAACTGGTGTTCGTACTCTTGTTGCTGTCTGCTAGTATTTTTCCTCACTACAAAAATTGTTGGATAGTCTTTTTTCTTAATGTAGTTCACATGTGTGCTTTTCTTTGCCTAACCATATTTATTATTTGATGGCCTACCACAGCATTTCCTTTGACATTCAGGGCAATAATCCCAGACATTTGGTTTTATCTTTCTCTCTGCTAGAAAATAAAATGAAGAGAAAGAGACAACTAGCATTCTGAAATAAAATAGAACTGGAAGAGGATGGCCATTTTATTGTTGGCTGTTGGGTCTTGCTTGTGGAAATGAAATTGACACATCTTGTAAACATAGAGCCAGAGGGGAAAGGGCATCATAAACTAGATTTTTCAGGTGTAAAGCTGAAATTTCTCCAGAAACAGAGTTTCTTAGTGTGATCTCTTAAAAAAAAATAGTACTTTATTAACTGTCCTTGAGTTCCACAGTTTTAAGACATCAGACTTCCTTTTGTTTCTGATACATGATTCAGCTTGTTGTGCTTTAAAATAGGTGTGCCTTTCAATTCTTTGTTTTAAATGTAGTCATTAACTCCTTTGTGTTGCTGTCCTTATGATTGCCAAGAAAATAATTAATTTTATTTTACATGTCAACAGAATATTATTTTTCTCTTGCATTAGCTATTTCTTTGTAGTTTTAAAATGAGCAGTCTGTTCTGAAAATCCTGAAGTGCTGAAATGCATTTTTTTTCTACAGTAGTTTGCCAGCATCTATAAGCACCACTAAAATCACTATTGTTAGAGTAGGTTTCTACAACAAATCAAAATGCAAATGGAAAGAATATCTCACACCAGGCACGGAAAGGGGTCTACTAATTGCAAATTGTTTCAAAGGTGGATTTTTAAAAAATGTTCTAGAGTGGAAAATAGCATTTAAAATTGAACATAATTCTGATTATGAAAAAAATTTTTCTTGTTGTTTCATTTTTTTGTGTGTGTTGGAGTCCAAATCTTCTCAGACAAGTGCATAGGATTACTTTTACAGGTTTTCTATTGACGTGTCCTCAAATCAAACTTACCCTTGAACATGCATTGTTCATTATTTCACCTTGAGTTGATACGTATAAGTCCTTTCTCCCTCCCCCCCCCCCACTGCTCCCCCGCTGCTTTTGGTTAAATGAAGCATCATGGTGTGATTAAATGCATGTCTTAACATTTTATTTTATTTTTTTATTCGAGAGTGAGAGCTAGCTCTTCTGCTAAAGTTTCACTACCCAATTGACTGCGATGGCTGATGGTGGAACTCTTTGTAGCCAGGAGTTAGGGACTTTTTCCAGGTCTTCCATGGGGTGCCTCCCAGCTGCCTCCCAGGGTCTATATTAGTAGGAAACCGGACATTGGCGTAGAGCTGGGACTCAAACCCAGCAGTGACAAGGGACACAAGCATCTCAACATGGGTTTTAACTATGAGGACAGACAAACCCTAAACATTTTTTTTTAAATGATAGGAAACAGTATTTCTTCCCACCAGAGTTTTTTAGAGTCTTAACTGGACATTTATTTCAATTTGAAAGACAGAGCCAGAGTAAGATAGGAAGGGTCTCTTCTCTGACTCACTTCTAAAATTCCTGCACTAGCTGAGGCCTGGCCAGGCAAAATACCAAGAGGCTACCATACCAACTGGATCCCCCAGGATATGCAGTGACAGGAAGCTGGATCAGAAGGCAGAGGTGGGCTTGACCCCAGGGACTCCAATAAGGGATATGCCCATCAAGGTCAGTGGCTTGACCCATGGTAACGTAAGAAAACTGTTGATACAATGGAAGTCTGAAGGCTTCATTTCTTACCTTGATTTTGCCCTCATCATTCTGTGATTATGTTTTTTTTTTTTTCAACCACATTGACATTAGGAAAACACATCATATGGATTGTATCTCTAGATTAAGACCATCTGGAAGATTTGTGGAAGACTGGTTATAACCTCTACACAGAAGTGTTTTTGCAGTCTCGCAAGTTTCATACATGCCACAAAGTGTCCTGAGCCCAGCATGGTGGCCTAGTAGCTAAGTCTTCAACTTGTATACACCATGATCCCATATGGGTGCCAGTTTGTGTCCCTAGTTGCTCCAGCTCCGTTCCAGCTCCCTGCTTGTGACCTGGGAAGGTAGTTAAAGACAGCCTCAAAGCTTTGGTATCTTGCACCTGGGTGGGTGACCCAGAAGAAACTCCTGGCTCCAGATCAACTGAGCTATGACCATGTGACTTCTTGGGGAGTGAACCACTGGATGAAAGTTCTTTGTCTCTCCTCTCTGTAAATCTAATTTTCCAAATTAAAAAAAAATTAAAAAATTTATTTATTTATTGGGAAGTCAGAAATACAGAGAGGAGGAGAAACAGAGAGAAAGATCTTCCATCCGATGATTCACTCCCCAAGTGAGCGCAATGGCTGATGCTATGCCGATCCAAAGCCAGAATCCAGGAACTTCTTCCGGATATCCCACATGGGTGCAGGGTCCCAAGGGTTTGGGCCGTCCTCGACTGCTTTCCCAGGACACAAGCAGGGAGCTGGATGGGAAGTGGAGCTGCTGGGATTAGAATCCGCACCCATATGAGATCCCGGTGTGTTCAAGGCGAGGACTTTAGCCGTGAGGCCATGCCGCCGGGCCCTGAAAAAGAATAATTTTTTAAAAAGAATAGTCTGTTCCTGTTTTGTTTTGCTCGAGTAGGTAGAGCGGGATCCTGGGAAGGCAAGCGTGACACCGGGTTCTGAAAAAGCACACGGTGGCAACAGAAGGGTATTTGCCTTGTGGATGTAGGTCTTAGTTCACTGATGTCCCTAATCCAGTGTGCTTTCTTAGCCTTCCCAGTCTCACTGCTTCACTCAGTCAGTAGTCAGTTGCTTGCATATATTTCCTTAAGCAATTTTGACACCTGTCCAGTGATGCAGGCATACTACATAGTCCAGTATGCAGGCATACTTATCACTAAAGTATTTAATAAGTCAAATTGAAAAATGGCGCCGATCTTTAATAGCTTGTATGTGTTGTGTGCTTTCTAATTATTTTGTTCTAGATGTGCATAGTCATGCATTCTTAAGGGCATAGTATTTTTGGAAAGAAGGCCGAGGTGGGAGCCTAGAATCTAGAGGATGTGTCTTGGTCTTGGAATATGAATTTTCTGTCATTCCAGGCTTGTAAGCACTTAGGTGGTTCTCAGAGTAGTATATATGCCCTATATCCAGAGTAGTGACCCCAGGGATCACGAAGATGGGCTGAAGTAATAAAGAGTTCTGTGAACTTTTTCCATCCAGGTCAGAAGAGTTCCTGGGTCAAGCGGCCATCTTCATAAAACCGAAGACGGTGACTGGGAGTGGAGTGACGACGAGATGGATGAAAAAAGTGAGGAAGGGAAAGCCGCTGTTTCTCAAGAAAAGGTAATTGTGTTGGATAGCAGTCAGCTGGCCCACGTGCGATTGATTGCTGTGGGTTCTTTTCTGGGTGTGTATTAACGGATCTCTAATTGTTTTTGCAGTCACGAAGAGTAAAAGAAGAAAATCCAGAGGTGAGTAGTGGTGTTTATCTTGCTTGTGTCCTTGGGTTTCTTGGGAGAGATTTGACCATCTCAGGAAGAATTTTTAAAACCAGAAAAGGCTCATAGACTGCAGATCTGTACAAAATTGTGCACAACTCAGGGCCAATTATTTTGTTCTCAGAGCTCCAGTTTCCCCTTCTGCCAGACAGGAGTGACACATTACATGTGTTTATAGCATTTCAGATGTTAAAATGATGAGAAACTCTGGGTTGAGAAACTCTGGTCTTGATTTTTGGGTAACGTAGTAGACAAGTGAGAACTGATCATCTTGATTAAGAAGTCGTTTTTTATTTGCATCCTCCATCTGATTGATTATCCTATTGGCTGTTGAGGACTGTAATTCTTAGGATGTGCTCATTTTCCCATAGGAAATTAGGCCTATTTGGATAGCTATGCATATTTGATAGGCCTAATAATCAATGAGTACCTCAAAACATCTCATTAAGAAAACAGAAAACTTTTGGTTGTAAAAGAAATTCTTTCCAACTTTTTTTTTTTTTTAATTAGCAGACATTTCCATTTAATTCCACAGAGTAAATCTCATTTGGTCTTAAGTGGCAGTAGACACTGGTGGGGCTTGTGAAGAACCGGCATCTACGCAGCAGGCTGCTGTTGCCCATTCTTTTCTCCTATTGTTCTCTCTTCCAGTGTACAAGCCTCATACCCAGGTCTTCCCTGGGGAATTCTCAGCTGCCATGTAATGGTTCTTCTCTGTAAGATCCTGTCTGTTTCTTCATGGATCATAGAAGATGACCTTTCCTTTTTATTCCTACCACATAGCTCTGATCAGTAACTTTGTCCGTCTCTCTTGTGGCAACAATGGTGCTAAGTCCCGAAGAGGCACTTGTTCACTATACAGATGTTGTGTTGGGTTTCCACAGTGAACTTTTGGAGGCATCGTGAACTCTGCTTTCTTCTCTCCTTCATTACTTTCCCATTCCGCCCGCCACTGTGTCTTCTAAAGTCTAAACTCCAGATTTTTCTCCATACAGTTTTTCTGATGGAAAGTGCCAGTTTGTCTTCTTTTTAGAACAAGGTGATAGGGTTCCAATTATATCACTACCTTAGAAATCATTTGTTATTGGTTTAGGATAGGGCATCCTGATTGAATGATGGTGGGTATCACAAGTCTTTCCTGCTGAAGATTTCTTAAGACACTGTGTTCTGGAATTACCCCAGTAGCTGAGTCATTATGTGTATGATGGCAATAACTTTTTGGCAATAATGTTTTTAACATAGATGAGAAAAATGTACAGCATGCTGACAGTTGATCTTCAAAGATCACTCTCAGCCTTCTTCAGTGGAATGTGAAAATCGTAGGCTACACTACATTTTGACTCATTGAGTTCTTATGACAGTATGTCTGTTCCCATATTAGTTTATCAGGAAGTAAGAATATAAGTAATTTTCTTATTTTGTGAGAGGCTACACGTTTTTGCATGTACCGGGTACCACCTGGTTTTAAGATTAATTTGTTGCCCCTGTTATTGCACAGCCCCTAAAGCCACAGCCTTTGCTGTGGATGTTGGCGTTTCAGTGTCTGAGCTGTGATAGGAGTTGCTAGCATGGTGGTCACTGAGTCCTTTCAGCTTTTAATTAAAGTAGCCCTCTAGTTTGCCGACCAACTCAGTTTAATTTCTTAAAGCAAAACATAAGGTATTTCAATTACTTAGTACAAAAGGAATTGAAAGTTTAAAATATGTGAACATTCAGCAAAAATACTTTATGTGCCTATGGGACACCCAGTTTCAGTGGCTGTGGGAGATACAACATGGAGAAAATAGAGCAAAACCCTGAAGTTGAAGTTCTAATGAGAGAAAAATAAGCACTGTACAATAGCCATTCTGAATAAGTGAAACAAGAGCTGTGTTGCAGTGGGAAGGGAACAACAGGAAGGTTGACTGGGGTTGTGGGTTGCAGGGAGCGTGCTAGGAAGTTATAATTGTGCATTCATTAGTCAAGATAAGCCTTAGTTCCCAATGAAACTGTTGAATCTTGACAATAGGATGCTGGACTGTCTGCCATTATCCATGCCTACAATGTCAGGATATGCTTAAGTAACACAATGATGGACTTATGACTGATTTTGAAGGACTCTACTATTGAAATGACAAAGGGGAAATTGGGGTAAGAGGAGATTGGGAGGGGAAAGGAAAATCTCACAGCCTTTGGAATTGTATCATGTAATAATAAAACAAATCCATTTAAATATAATAAATAAATAAATTTTTAAAAAGGCAAGCCTTAGTGAGAAGAGAGATAAAGATTTAGAGAAGTTGTAGGGAAGCTACATAAAGCAAAACTGGAAAGATTGGTTTTCTCCTTTCACCCTCCTCTCCTGTGGTTGTCATTTTTCCCACAAAGGTGATGGGTCTGCAGTGCTTCCCTAAAGACCACTTGCTGTTCACTTTCATACAAAGAATAAAATCACAAGTAGAGTTATAAAGGCTAAAATAATTCTGTGATTTCCCCTATTTCCTTGAAACTATTTCCATATTAAATGTTGTATATCTGCCTCTTTTATTTTAACTAGTATGATAGTGAATGAGTGGAAATGGTTTATCGAACCATTTTCTTTGTAGGCATCATTATGTTCACTTTTCCCAAGATGCAGTTTGAGAAACATCCCATAAGTAGCGTACAGATAATTAGAACTGTGATTGCTTTGTTGAAGTGTATTGATGTGGAGTTTTACCTCACTGTGAATAGCTGTACCGAAGTATATGGCCTCTGACATTGTACCTTAGACATTTACGCATCTGGAAGGGTAAAAATGCTTATCAAAACCAAAGGGCACATTGAAGTGATAGAGTATTTACATTTTAAGAAGTTTTCAAATTCTGTTTGTTATTTAGTTTGCAGCTCATATGTTTTTTTCACTGTAAGCCACTAGAAGACTAATATACTACTTTAAAAAAATTTTTTTTATTGTTGTTAACATTGTATTATGTGATACAGTTTTATAGGCACTGGGGATTCCCCCCACCCCTCCCGTACCCCTCCTCCCATAGTGAATTCCTCCACCTTGCTGCATAACCACAGTTCAAGTTCACTTGAGATTCCTTCATTGCAAGCATATACCTAGCATAAAGTCCAGCGTCTTATTGTCCAGATAAGTTCAGTGGCCTCTTGGGGAGACCTTCTCTGGTATGAAGGTAGAGCTAACAGAGTAAAGTTCCGGTCAGTTAAAGCCCCAACAAAACCTCAGCATCAATATACAACATTACTGGCACAAAGATAGAAAGGAAGATCAATGGAATAGAATAGAAGCACCAAAAGGGAACCCACACAGATACAGCCTATTAATCTTTGACAAAAAGACCAATGACAGTCCAAGCAAATGGGAAGGCCTCTTTAGTAAATGTTGTTGGGACAACTGGCTGATAGCCTGTAGAAACAAAAAGATAGACCCACATCTATCACCATACACTAAGATCCAATCTACATGGATAAAAGACCTAAACCTACATCCAGAAACCTTCAAACTCTTGCAAGAAAATGTTGGAAATACCCTGCAAGACCTAATATACTACTTTGTAATAAACCACTTTACTCTTGTTTCTATTCCTTTTGCATCTAGACGCTACTCTGTCCTTGTTTGTTGGTGACACAGATATCCATGTGCCAGCATGCACACATGCAGATGCATACATAACAAGTATGGGTAAAGATAAGAAGACATTGAATGGAAGTCCAGAAAATTGCATCATTAGTCCCATTTCTAGACAACAATACAATGTGATAATAAATAAGGGGGATTTAGGAGTTTCTGATTCATGAGGGCTTGTGTTAAAAGGCCTTATTAGAAGGACATTGGTAAAATGTGCTTTCATCCTGGGCATGAATAGATTTCTAGTGTAAACTCTGAAGATTTTGGAATTATACAGCCAATTTTGGGATTCAGAGACAGATAAATAGGAAAGTTGGTTCTATACTCCTAACCTGAAGCTTTAGAAAAATAGTCTTGCAAACCATTAGTTCCCTTGTAGTAATTAACTATATGTAACAGGTAGATGATCCATCCTGATTTCAGGTATTTATCATCTTTCCTCCACTTGGATTGTGAATGCCCGTGAAGACTAAAGGTTAATAGCAACTAAATTAACATTAATAATATGGCTAATTCCTTGCACAGATATTTCACAAGTGGCTGGTTTCTGTATGAAGCTGGGTGAAATCCCTGGGGAAAGATTGGAAAGCACAGAGGGAACCTGCTTTCTAGACTCTTCATCTCTTTGGAGGGCAATAGTTTATATCTCTTCTTGTGGATAACTTTTCAATTACTACTCTGTTATTGGTCTTTTTATGACCAATGATTTTGGAATCCATTTTCATCAGACTGTGAATTATCAAGTACCTGTTTTATAACTTTTGGTCAATTTCACATTATATTCTAATTTTCTATATAAAGGGGGAAATTGACTCTAAATTTTACAGTTTCCTTTGATTTCATTTAACTGAAGAGGACAGACAGTAAACAGTGTTCTTCAATTATAGCAGCACCTTGGCTAAACGTATGGAGATAAATAGTTCACACCCTCAAGCTCTACAGCAGAAAGACTGATTGCCTTAAAAAGTGACTGCTTCATCCACGGATTCTGATGTGATGAGATGGCTGTGGTGCTCAAACAGCTCCACAGTCTTTGCAAAGCCTCTCACAGGTTTCATGTGTAGAATCTAGGATTTTCACTGGGAAAACTGTATAATTTGCACTTACTCCAGAAGTGCAGGAACAGGATTTCCAGGAGGATATATGTGCATAACTCATGAATATTTGTTTTGAATATGTGTCTACTGTAAATTTCAGAAAGCAAACAAACAGAACAAGAGAAAAAGAAGAGAAAATGTTGAGATGGTTCTTGGAAAAATTGTCCCTGTTTCATCAAGTCCAGGGAAGCAGGGAAGCAAAGCTTTTGGCTGCAGCCCAGTGAAACCCACAAGAGACATTTTCTTGAAGAACTTTGTGCTTG